TCCCTGGAGAACATCTCCTGGCGATTGTGGGGATCGGTGTATCTTAGGAAGTACCAGGATGAGTCGACGAAGGTATCCATGGTGTCGCTTTCACGATGAGCTGGACCTTTGCAGGTGGGACAGGCTGTGTTCAGCCAGAGAGGAGAGTCCTTCAGACTCTGAAATTCAAATTTCTCGTTATCAACTTCTGGGAGCACCACTGGGAGGTCATCTTCAGGCACTGGTACAGCTCCACACTTTTTACAATGAATAATCGGGATTGGTGTGCCCCAATATCTCTGCCTGGACACAAGCCAGTCTCTCAGGTTGGAGCTGACGCTGTATCCACCGATTCCCATTTTCCGCGCCTCTGCCATCACTTCCTCTCGTTTTTTCTCTTGATCCCCCGAGTCCTCCGGAATTGGAGGATAATCAAGTTTAACAATTGTTGCAAACTCTCTAGAAGCCTGACATGCCCCAGGTATTCCCACAAAATTATCCCTAGCCCTGGGGAACTCTACTATATTCGTCAGGAAGATGGGGATCTCTTCGGAGGTGAAGGGATTAACGACTTTGGTATCCAAAAGCTTCCAGAAGGGCTCAGCCTTGCTTGAAGAAGATTCATCTGGCAATTGTGAGGATTTCGACAGAAAATTGTCCTTGGAGACTGCGATGAATTTCACGTGGTGGATGTGCTCGGGGATGTCTGTCCACAGGGAGATAATCCTCGGGGTTTCACTGGAGACAGAGGCACTTGAAATCAGGGGAAAGTCTAAAGAGGTACCTGTGGGAGGACCTATCCAGTGCTTCTGGATCTTTATGACGTCTCGCCATTCCTTCAGCATTGGGGAGTCAAGTCCTGAATAAAGGGACGAGGCAAAAGCTGTTGTTCGGATAAACCACTGCTTCAGCAATTTTTTCTCTACCCTAGCACCGGATCTCCAGGAGATGCCATTCTGGTCGACTTGCTCGTCAGCAAGAACCGTTTTATCCACGGGATCCCAATTTACGAATGACTCTTTCTGATAAGCCAGGGATTTTTTGTACAGCTTGAGAAACAACACTTGCGTCCATTTGTAATAATCAGGATCGCATGTCTTGATCTCTCGATCCCAGTGAAAGTCGCACCCCATTTGTGTTAATTGGGATTTCATTTTATTTATGTTGGAGATTGTCCAAGTGACTGGTGATACCTTTCGCTCGAGGGCGGCATTCTCCGCTGGAAGACCAAAGGCATCCCATCCCATTGGGTGCAACACATTTTTACCTCTCATTTTGTGAAAACGAGAAACTGAATCGCTGATGGAGTAGACTCTCACGTGACCCATGTGTAATGCCCCTGATGGGTATGGAAACATTGATAACACGTAGTGATTTTTTCCATCGGTCTTCGCTGGCACCTGGGGACTTATCTTGGATTTCCAATACCTCTCTATCGAGCGACGGATCTCATTCGTGAGAATTTCATCCTCAAAAGAATAATTCACTCTGATGATTCGACTCATTGGGAATTTATTAATTACAATATTTTATTTGTCGTCGTTGTTAAAAAATATTCTTTGTAAATACCTAAATACCTAAATGTTCATAACCAATAAATGTTCGACTTACCCACAATCCCAGACCACTGGAGGCATAACATCTGACAAAAATCCTCTGGAAATGTCCGTCAATTGACGATTTCAAAATTCTCCTGGTGTACCTCATTATTCACTAAATAACAATTAACAACAATTACCCCCGAAACATCAACAAATCACCGGTAAAGAGTTTTTTAAAGCTACCGGCGCCATTTTGATTATTGATTTTTTTCTTTGGACACTCGTTAGGTGGCGCGCGAAAAATTCAAATATTTTCGCGCCATGGACCATGGATAATAACTGGATTTTATAAATTTCTATTTGATGATAAATAAAATGGACGGACTTGAGAGGACCGCAAGCACTTGTACCATTTTCAGAGACAAACTAGGACTGAATAACATCAGCTGTTCGTACCCTACAATTTTATCATGTGCGTGTGGTCTACGTGGAAATAATGAATATTACATTCCCCGCGTTCAATTATGTACTCCCTGTCATTATTTATCTGTATTATCCATGAATGAATTACGCGAGCTATAACTTCCTCATGAATTTATTAAAATGGTCGATGGCAATCAGACGGAACTTCTCTGACTGCCGTCAGTTCCTCCTCTATCATCACGAAATAAACTTCTAAACATGACGAGAAAACGTTTTTCCCTTCATGAATATTACTCCGAGTTCAATCTTAAGTGGCTAGTATATTTCGGTAGGACATTACCTCCATAACGACATAATTCTCCAATAATTTCCAATAATCTCCAATAAATCTACATTTCACCGACTGTCAGTCGTCGCTGGATATCTCCCACACGAATTGAGATACAGAAATTTTCATGAATATCTTTTTTATAGACCAATTTCCGGATCGCAAAAATGATCTTATCACAAATTTCGTTATCTCTCCCCATTTGGGAGATATTCAACGATTATTGGGGACACGTCAGAAACAATTACCCCAGTTTATCAATTTGTTGTAGAATTTGTTGTTAAATGTATTCGTAAAAATGGAATATTAATTGGTTTTCGAAGGAATGTGGAATCGACATGATGGTGACAGCAGGGAGTGGCTGTATTACAGCTGCTATTCGAGTGTGAGTATTTTTTTAATATTTATCGTGAGGACGATGGGATGCGTTCATCGTGTTTGGCTGACGAAGGAGGACTTCATGGCCTGCACCATGTCCTCGTCTTTCGCTGCTGGTTATCTCTGTACAATCATGAAGAATATTAATCTCATCATGAGACGATCGGATATACTCTTCATCCTGAAGACATTCAATTGGGAAAGAACAATTTCGTGCACTCGAGATATCGGTAAATAAATTTTTATATTTTCTCCTGAATCACCACTGGACTGTTGTTTAACATTCCAGCAAATCATCGAAATAAAAGTGTCACAACGGCAATCAAGACGACAAAGAAATTTACGTTCATCTGGGCGATAATTGTTACCCTTTATAATATTTTTTTTTTCTATTCTTCTCTCGTGGAGAATGGGTGGTCCATCGATTCTCTACCAATCAGGTAATTTTGTTTCTCCATTCATCTTATTTTATTTTATTTCACCCCCAGTTTTCCAAAAAATCCTCGAAATCTAGAGGAAACAGAAAAATTTTTGTTTCACCTTTTCTGTAGAATTAATTCCGTTCTACAAAAAAGATTCTTATGAAATTACTCTATTCCTTCTAGTCTCGGAGATGTTCCTGAAAGATCGAAAGAGATGAATCGAATGAAATTGAAAATATGAAGAATGATTTTTTTCTAGCGATACACCCCTCAGGAGAATCGCAAAGGCCCACAATTTCTGGATCGTTCTCACCCTCGATTTTATCACCTGGTCGGCATTTACTTACACTATTCTAGCGCACGACAGTCTCTTCCTGAGTCTGATGCTCCATACCTCAGCGCAATTGAATATTCTCAATCACAGATTAAAAAATTGCGCCAATTACGAGTTGAGGACTGGTAACGAGACTCCAGAAGTTGACGTAACTCATTTCGACTGTCTCGAGATCAATCCAAAAACGGAGAGTTTAAATCCTAATGAGGAATTGATCAAGTGCATTCAACATTATCAACAAATATTCCAGTTAGTCCTTCAACTCTAATTTCAATCAAATTTAAAATTAATTTAATCAATAGCAATAATTAATTCACCCATTTAATCAATGCCTTCAACTGTCTCAATCCTCTCCATCATCTCAAATATTTTTCTCCACTGGAATTTCATCACTTCAGGATCGTGAAAACCCTGCAAAATGTTTTTGGGAGTATTCTCCTACCCCAGCTCATTTCCAGTTTAACAATGATGTCTTTAATTGGATTTCACGTGTTTGTGGTGAGTAATTTCTTTCCATGAAGACTGGAGTGGATGCAGAAGGGGCTGAAGAGAAGAAATTATTTTTAAATGTCAAGGCAAAGACGATAGACCTGAGCAGGCCCCCAAAGGCAATCTTCATCAGTGTATTTTTTGAGAGTCTCTTGTGCCAATTGTTCGCCTTCTGCTGGAGTGGAGACTGCATAATCGAGGAGAGTGATAAAACGAGTACAGCTCTGTACTCGTCCTGCTGGTACCGGGGGAATCGCTCGTTCCGGGCGAATGTCAAGGTGTTCGCATCACTCGTGGAGAGTCCCATGGTGGTGAGTGCTGTTGGTCTCTTCGATCTCTCTGTCATCACGTACAAAAATGTGAGTCACGTCCTCAGCCCTCAGCAGTCCCTAGAGTCCTGGATCATTCCCAATACTCCCAATATTCGTTTGCAGATAATTATCAAGTCATACTCAGCAATGACAGTACTGAAAAAAGCCTACAAATAAACAGAAAAATTCAATTGATGAACATGTCTTAAGCAATCACGAAATCGAGTTGCTGACCCTAAAATTCCCGTTCAGAACGTAAGTACCTGATTATCAGGATAATCTCCCCACCAGATCGCCAGTAATAAATCTTGAATATTGCTCCACAGAATAATGATATATTTGCTTCTCAATTTTTTTTTTATTCGTCAACATTAATGTGAATGCCATTCAATGGATTAAAATTGAATCAACGATAATTCGACACGAGGATATCAAGAAATGAGAAAAATCTCAAGTACTCGGATATCCTTAGAAGAAATATTCACCACCACCCAGGTTCGAATGATATAAATTTATTAAGGACACTTGGATCAAACAAATACTCGATTAAAATTCCAATCCAAGGTAATGCACAACTAAAAATTAAATAATTCTCCTAAAAAAAACAGCCAATAGTCTCAATCAGAGTCCACGAATTTCTTGATCATTCCATTTTCACTCAGTTGCAAATCAGGCGTGATATCCTGGGTGAGCTCCTGCTCAGTGATGTCCTCCTCCAGTAGAAAATCCTCATTAATGATTTCCTCGCGTGCAGGTTCAGGTGGTAGAGTGGCATCAGTTCCATGATTCTTCATGTGATCATTGAGTGCAAATGCACGTCCATAGGATGCACCGCAGATATAACAGTGGAATTTCAAATTATTGTCCTTCTTGTGTGTAGCAATGTGAGCCCTAGCTGCGTACAAAGAGGCGAAGGGTCTGGAGCACTCGGTGCACCTGAATGGTTTGGTATGACTGTTCTTGTGTCCAGCTAATTGAACTCGGGTTTTGAATTTTTTTGGGCAGAATGGACACTTGTAGGCCCTCTCATCGCCGTGAGTGAGCAAGTGATGATTGTAGACTGATGATGCTTTGAAACGTTTTCCACAGTGTTTGCACTCATATGGACGAACACCAGTGTGTGTTCTCATGTGGAGTGTCAGGCAGTATGACACCCTGAAGGTCTTACCACAGACCTCGCAGGCATGTGGCTTTTCACCGGTGTGAATTCTCTCGTGCTTCACCTTCTCGTGAGGTCTTGTAAATCTTCTCCCACAATGCTGGCACTGATAAGGCTTCGACAAATCTCCATTATCGTTGCTATCATTATCATTCTCATTGCCATCAACCACCTGTCCCTCAGTCGTTCCAAGATCACCATCCACAGGACTCGGTGCTTTCATCTTTCTTGAGACCTTTCTACCCTTTCCCCTATTCGGATGAAATCCACCTAGCTCTGGGTGAACAGCTGCGTGCATTGCCAGTGAATCAGCAGAATCAAATTTTCGATTGCATATAGTGCAGGTGTACGAGTCGCCAGTGTGAAGTGCCATGTGGGCACTTCTGTAGGACTCGGAAAATGATTTTCCACACTCGTCGCAGGTAAATGTGTCGTCGGTGTCACCCTCGGGGGCGTCCACGTGCCTTTCTCGAACTGGTGCGTGCATTCGAGAGTGCAGACGTAGGCTCTTGTGGGAGGAGAATTTAGTGCCGCATATTGTGCAGATGAAGTGGCTCGGGTCACCAGACTCTTCGTGGATTTTTGAATGGATTTGGAGGGCTTTAATTGTTGCGAATGACTGGTCGCAGTGGTCGCAATGATTTGAACCGTTCATGCAGACGTGAGTTCGAAAATCTACGAGTCTGGGAAAGTGTTCTTGGCACTGATTGCAACGATAGTCTTTTGGGGGAACTGGTAGATCATGTTTCTTGGTCTGTTCGGCGTTCGAGAAGAATTTCTCGAGCATCGATGTTGTTTTTGAATTTGAATTGACGTTGTTGGAACGATCCCAGAAGGGCTCAATCTGCACGACTTTTCTCGTGTAAAGTCTCCCCTCGGAGTCAATACACTCCTCAGTCTTGATTGTATTCATCTTCTGTCTCGGTTTAGCTTTGGTCACTGGCTCCTCAGGCTGGACAAACTCCTCCTCAGCTGCTGATCCCTCGTCGGCCATCTCCAGGACAACCTCTTGTCCGTCGTGGTACTGCTTTATGTGTTCCAACACCGAATTAAAACCCATTCCACAACTGCTGCAGCTGTAGAGAGCTGATCCATCGATGCGTATTAATTCCTCACCCTCGAGCTCTGCCGTCTCATCGTCTGGATTCATGTCGATCAAACTCTGCTCGTTCTCCAGGTACTCAGTCGTCTCGTCGGGGAACATCGCAAGAATTCTGTTGTCATTGGTGTCTTCTGTTTCTGGGATACTGATCACAGGTGGATTATCACTGCTGTCTCTCTTTGTCGATGGCTTCGTGGAGACGTCGTCCTCGACGTTATCCAATTGCTGGTAGTTGTCGTCAGGGAGAATCGACTCCTCTGGCTCGTCCTCTATTTCCATTTTTTGAATCATTTTAATTTCACCTGCAAATTGGTAACTTTCGTCAAGAATTTCCTGACAGTTGTCAAGATGGAAAAGAATTGCCTGAGGTTTATTACCATTGTCGTCTACCTGGATGGATCTAGGCCCTCCCACTATCATAATCCCTTCGTTATTCACTGTTGCCAGGAAACTTTCGTGGATTTGTTCGACGTTTGTGTCCTGTGATCATTAAATATAAGAAAACAGGGATGAAGTCATGTGAGAGTTCAGGTAACTTTTTTTTTTAAAGTGAAAACAATTGATTGGAGAATAGCAAAATGTCACTTACCATCAGCACCTCGTTCTCGCCAATTTTTCCATCATTCACTGTTTCCTCGAAAGTGACATTATTACCAGTGCCACATGCATCGAGATGCTGAATCAAGGCAGCAACACTCTCTGATCTCTGTGAGCATCCAGGACAGTACAAATTATCAGTCATACTCAATAAATGATATTTCAATGACTGTGAACTATTGAATGTCTCCCCACAGCACATGGGACAAATTAAAAGTGAAGATCCCATTATTCGTAATTTTTTTGTTTTTTCCTTTTAAACAAAATCCAGCACTTCATTTATTTTTTCTTGACAATTCTTCACATCGAATTAAACAAAATCACCTAACCTAGGGTATATGACTGTGTCGACAGATTTAATCCCGGAATCAAATGATTTTTACGCATTTTAGGGGAGAATATTGTTGGGGATGATTCGAGGGGTTTTGAATTGACAGATTATCTTATGATTGGAGGACGAACTTCAGCTCAAACAAATTTTCGCGAAGGGAATAACGACAACAGTCATGAAGTTAGGGTATTAATGAACGCCATTTTGAGGATTGAGTTGAGAAGAAATTGGAAGAACTGGTGAAGTCAAATTTCGATTGTACAGACATTTTTTTGATTCATGTGTTGTATTTCATAAATTATTTATAAACTTCACTTCAATATTTCGATAAATTATCCTGCAAAATAGGGAAATATCTCATGAATGAAGAAAAATAGAAGATTTTTGATGAGAACCTTTTTTGAGGAGCGATCCGCCATCTAAAAAAAAGATTCATAAAAAATTTCGCTGTCTGTCCTCGTTTAGAAGATATTTATTGATAATTAGGGTTGAAGGGATTGCAAATGAACTTATTCTATTTTATCGATTTAACGATTCCAATGATTGTTGACTTTTAATTAAAATTAGACCCCTTTAATCACCCACATTATGTACACAATTATCACAGTAATTGAAGAAATATTAATCCGTGTGCTCGTGCTGTGCGTTGCTCTCTCTCCACGTGTTTTGAATGAGCTCGACGAATTGCCTCCACCACTGGCTTTGGAGAGTGAAATAAAGTGCACAGGCTGCGATAAAAATCCAGGACAACACCAGACAGTAATCGCACTCGTTGGAGGGTGTACTAGGTACAGGACCAGCAAAATCCCCCGATGTGACGTAGAGAGAGCCATTTGGCTCGAGTGCTGTGTAATCTGTGACGAATTTGGCGAATGACTCCAGAGTATAAGAGGAATCGTTGAACCTCACCAGAGGCTTTCCATTGTACACAAACATCAGAGTTGGAACTCCAACAATTCCAAATTGAGTATTGAAGCTGAAAAATTGAAAAATTTCATTCAATCCCACGAGAGAGAACTCGACAACTTCGGGATTGGAAATTCGATTTGCAGTAATTTATTCTCTTCGAAGGGTGAATGGTATTTACGCACTTCTGGTACTTGGAGGCATCGATAGCAACTGCTCTGATGTATGGAAAAAATTTAGGAAGTGCATTGAAGTGAGGGGCAGCCTGACTGCTGAAGACACACCACCTGGTGTAGAATAAGACTAGAACACATGTTCTGGGGGGAATTTTTCCCTCTTTTTTGGATTCAGTACGATTTGAAGGGCCTGGCTCCATTATCAGGAGCTCCATGAGTCTCGTGGCATTGACAACCTGTAAACAATCATTAATCATTGAATAAATATTCTAAAAAATGATAGAGTAAAAAAATCGAGGAACTAGCCTCGACACTCCCATAGACTTTATCCGTCAAGCAATTGCTGTAGATCTTGTAAGCCCCTTCATTCTTCAATTTTGAAGAAATCGTCGCGTTCCCTTTGTTCTCCTCCTCCTCTGACTCCTTCGTATCATCAATTAACTCCTCATCATTATCTTCAACAGCTATTTCCATAATTTCAGTCCCATTATTATCAACTTCATCAATTTTTGTGTCATTCCCTGGAATCTTCAGAACCCCTGAATCATCAGCAGAAACCGAGAAAATGCCGACTAAAATCCGAGAATTGAAATTATAAATAATCTCTTCACGAGTCAATGGAGATAATATCAATCTCATAAATTCACTCACTCGAGAGGACTGATAAATAAACAAATATAGTGAACTTCATCGTAACCTAAAAAATTCACTTCGTCCCAACGTCAGTGGATTATCATTAATTTTTCACTGTCCATCAATAAATAATGGATGGAGATATATTTTCACCATGATCGATGATTAATTACAACCTAAATCGGTATTTTTTTGGTTAGAGATAAACTCAATATATCTTCTCAACTATCCACAACTATGCACTTCAATGACGTCAGAAAATCGCCATTTTATTTCAATCCCCCTGTCAATGTTCCACCGAACCCCAAAAAAAATCGTGTGCAGTATTGATCTCCAATTAATTAACGATATTTCGAGTGATCGAGGCACTGAGCTAGTGCAGAAGCTCAACCATCATCAGGAAGACGTGATTTTCTCCTTGAAAGGATGATGAATCGTCCTGGAAACGCACAAATGGCACCAGCAGGCTCAGGTATCCCCCAGAAACGCCAGAAATTATCAAAAAAATGCAGCTACACTTCCTGGGATTGCTCTGGTCAGGCCCTGGAGGGATATTCCCTCTGCCAAAAACACATCCTCTACGATCCAACATCTCCTTATAAACAATGCGCATTTGTTTACAACACGAGTGCCAAGAGATGCTTCAATCCAGCCCCCAGGATGGACAGGAGAGATGTTGCTTATTGCCCTGAACACACGAGAAAAGCCCTCATTGCCAGGATGAAGTCAACCTCGAAGGGAGTTTTGCCTGAAAATCCTGAGAGGTATCTCCTCAATTTAAAACACTATGTGGGAGATAAATCTGGAGACAGGGGTAAAATAAAGCCATTGGATCCATTCGGTAAGTACCTAGACGAAATTAAAAATGTTGTACAAAAAATATCAATTGAAAGATCTAACTCTAATTATAAATCTAATGAGAAAATTTGTTGAATTTTTTACACGTGTAGATGACTGAATTGTAATTGTCCGTTTATGAGAGAGTGATGTTATTTTATTTTAAGCTGAGATTGATGCATCAAAAGCAAATTCAAGTTGCTGTGATATCCTGGACTACGCCAGTTCCTCGGATAGCGATGTGGAGCCGACCCTGGCCTCAGAAGCTCTGAGAGGATCATTTCTCGATGACAGTGACAGTGAGTCCTTGAGCAGTTTCAATGAAGATCCACTCAAGTGAGCTTATTAATTATTATCTTAATTCTTCCCTGCACCAATCCCAAAGATATTTCACGCTTGGTAAGAGGAATAATTATAGACTTGAGGCTCATTAAATCAGACAGTAGAAGCTATTGATGCTAGTTCGCTTTAGCTAGTGCACATATGCCCCTCGTCTAATTCACAACAGCAACACAAACACCAGTAACTGCTTATCAGCGACTCTAGAGCAATCTCTACTCGTCGATTCAATTAGTATAAATTATTTAAGGCACGCTGGGATATACACCGCTGAAGAGGGTATTTACATTGCTCGTGAGAAACTCATAAAACTCCAGTCCCTCTACATCGATCAGTTCAAGAGACTCCAGTACATGTTGAGAGAAAAAAGAAGAAAGTACCTCCACGCCATAAAAACGGAAAAGGAAACGCTCTGTAAGTCGTTTATAAATAGAAATTATTTGAGATAATTAAGGAATCATTGATTTTAATGTTAAATATTTAATATCAGGTAGCATTTACAATCAACCAAAAGATACCCCCAAAGAGAAGAAGATTTATGATAAACTGAAGGCGCTGAATGGTTATCACCGTAAAAGTGGAGTCGAGGCGATTCTATACAGAAAATCCATCGAGCGACGAGTGAAATGCACCGAGGGACTTCCTCACAAGCCCCCAAGTGTCCCAAAGTGCATCTTCACCGAGGGTGGAGTCAAGTGTGGAGAGAGAACACTTCCTGCTGCCAAACACTGCAGAAAGCACATCCTCAAGGACGAACGTCAGGTGTTGTTCAAAGCTTGTGGAGCGAAACGCGCTGATATAGCCTGTCACGAGCCAGTGCCTGTTGTCTTCGACTGCAACTGCGTATTTCACATGGATTTACCCACCCCCATTACCCTGGAGCCCATGAAATTCGTGAAAGACACACAGAATTCCGAGCCAATGGGGTCTGACGTTCATCCTATGGACATCGATGTTGTCAGTAATAATCCGGAGATCGATCCCGAGGATGATATGGCTGGGCTGATGAGGGAGATGAGTGATCCTCTTCAGAAGAAACAGAGCTTCAACGAGAGCATCACTAGTGAAACCAGCACTGATACTGCATTTAGTATGAATGCTCAGTGCAGTGATAAGGATGACTCGTTGGTCACCTGAGGCACTTATTTATTATTCAATCGATTATCATTGATTTAAGATGTGGTGGTCAGTTGCCAATATTGTAATTCAAGGATTAATAAAGTTTTTTATGGAGTTATTCAAGTCGATTATCAAAAATCCACAATTCACTCTCCACCTGTAAAAAATTTATTCAAATTTCCAACAAAAATTGAATACAATTTTTTTAAAATATTATTCTCAATTATTCGGGGTTTTAACAATTTTATTCTTGAGTTCTTCATTTTTTTTAATTTGAATAAGTGTTAATTATTATCAATTATTATTAATTATTATTACGGTGGTTATAATTTATTTTTTAATGTAATGAATTTTTTGACTTTTAAATAATTAATTAATCAATTTTTTAATCTAAAATTCACTTGTTACATATTTTAAAAAATGCGTGAATTTTTAATTGCAATGGGATATCCTGTACTACGTAACTCACATCCGGTGGCGTCGCCACAACTGTACAACCTGAATATATCTTCAATTACCCTCTACCCCTGAACATCCCCTCAGTCTGTGATGTTGCAGAGGTTGTGGTGTGTTGTGAAGTCGTGAAATAGGTAGTTGTGTATATATAAATGGCGGCTGACGAAAAATGGTACTTCACAAAGGAACAATTAGCAAGTACACCATCGAGAAGAAATGGAATAGATGCAGATAAGGAGTTGAGTTACAGACAGCAGGCAGCTAATTTTATCCAGGACATGGGGCAGAGGCTCGTCGTGTATCCTTTGAACTTTCCACTGAAAATACCCCCCCTCCCCTCTCACCGTGTCTTTATATTTTTCCAGTTATTATTCATTACGAAGTGTTATCTCAGTGTTTTTCAGAGTTGAAAGTGTTGGGGAGTCCTTGGGATTATTTTTTTGCCATCTATAATTAATTTGTCTCTTCAAATCCACTGAGAAATGCATCGAGCTATCGTGCGTTGTCGGGCCCTCGGGATTCCACTTCCTGGTGATTATTTTCGGGATTTCGAAGGCTTCGATGGGTTTCAATGGGATTTTCACTGGGGGATGGTAATTTTTTAGGGTTTTCAGGGGCTTTTTCCTGGGGATGGGGTGATTGTTTGGGGCCCCTGGGACAATGGCGATTCGGGTCACGTTTTTTGGACGGCATTGTTTGCCTGTGGCTTTGACAGGTGTACCAACTAACGTGACGAATAAGTTTTGTCATCGAGAATTTTGGGACTGAGGCCCAGAGGCACTCGGTGATCATCCCCGTGGTTTTACTCATTAATTTTCCTTAATTTATTTATACAGTACACAATTATGTATAAACACTGCGATAGTTTACATGCACCGATTTTACGTGTTTCATTCGCTGGCGCAGTTTCACAGAAATGCTATTGCAGCAGCATCACTATTTCTCGCTGCAAAAGTCGAGGAACAGCCACGGAAATTAGAGCACGTTATCAAGGTTGCACACATGTGTCTTCACAAAGACCAGAGTACACCAGACACCAAATCCGATGTAAGTTCCACGTGATTTTATTTCAATTCGTCATTATTTCGGTTCCTGGAGGGTTTTAATTTGTCTCGTTTTTTTTCTCCCTCAGCATTATCTAGAGCAGGCCCAGGATTTGGTGTTTAATGAGAATGTCCTGCTTCAAACCTTGGGCTTTGACGTTGCCATTGATCATCCACATACTCATGTTGTTAGATGTTGCCAATTAGTCAAAGGTAATGAATACCCCAGGTTTTAATTATGGATTAATTCAGATGTTTGCGCTATTGTCGGGTGAATATTTACTGAGTGATAAATAAATTTTTGTTTCAGCGAGCAAGGACTTAGCCCAGACTTCCTACTTCATGGCATCAAACAGGTGGCTAAACACATTTACCTACTCTTTTAACTCGAAAAACCATTATTTGCATAAAATATGAACAAAATTAATCAGCAGACACTGGTCTATGAGACTTGTATGCTAGATTCATTCAATTCTATGCATGCACTGTCTCGAAAAAACCTCCGTAATGCACGTAAATTCCAAGATTTATTGTCCCGCATTTGAGTTACAATAATAATTACACTGTAATCTCAAGCTGGTGACAATTGACCTGTGATTTTTAATGCAATAAGTTGAGTGGGACAGTGCTCTGATGAAATTTTAAATAAAAGAGTAAATAAAACTGGAGTCTCAAAGACCGATAAAAAAGTTTTATAAAAAATGAAAGGATTAATGCATTCAGGTAAATGAATAATATCTTAACAAAAAAATCACAATCCTATTAAATATATTCCCTCCAATCATAGTATTACTTTCACGTAGTCTTGTGTTAGATGTTAATCTGATTGTTTAATATTCCCGTAAGTGATTATCGTAGAAATATAAAACCGAGGGAGAATCATTGATAATTTATTGATGTAAATAATCTTTTTCTGTTTGGAAATGTAGTTTACACCTTACGACCATGTGCCTGCAGTATAAACCGACAGTTGTTGCCTGTTTCTGCATCCACTTGGCCTGCAAGTGGTCAAATTGGGAGGTGAGCAGTTGGATTAATCCCATAAATGACAATATTTACGACGTTAACTCCTCCCCAGATACCCCAGAGTAACGAAGGAAAGCACTGGTTCTGGTACGTTGACAGAACAGTGACATCCGAGCTTCTTCAACAGCTAACCGTCGAGTTCCTCCACATCTTCGACAGATGTCCCTCTCGTCTTAAGAAGAAGATAATGTCAATGTCGGAGAAGCAGAGTCCGACGATGCACCACTCGAGTCTCCCAAATTCACCATTCGACGTTGAGCCACGAAAGGTCAACTCACCCGCCCCAGACGGTGGCCCGACATTTCAATCAGCCCGTCCATTTCCCCAGGAGAAAGACGACACAAAGCCCTCAACATCACGTCCGCAGTTGGACCGAGAGTACAGGGAGAAGAAGGAGCGTGAGCGCTTGGAACGAGAGAAGCTTGCAAATTCTCTGCCGATGCCCCACGATCCCCAGAAGCATCATCACCATCACAAACCACCACCAAATCTCCTCCAGAAGCATCCCCAACAGCCCACAAAGCCCCTCCACCACAATCACCACCACAGGCCAGATCCAAAACTCCCACCAGTTCCCCAACGTCACTCTCAAACACGTCAGAGGCCCCCAACAATTCCCCACACCTCTCAAAATCCCCCACCTGTACCCCAACCTCATCCAAACCTAGTAAATCCCCACCAAAAGGACTTGAATCCTCCACCCAACCCCCCAACCCATCCAGACTCCCTCCATCTGGACAAAACCCCCAGCAATCATCTCCAGCGTCGTTACAACGATCCTCGTCACAAACTGCTGGAGCACAGAAAAGATGATCCAAAAAATTACAAATACGATACCCAAATTCGTCAGCGAAAGCCTGACTCTCTCGAGCAAAGATCCGAGGAGGTCAGGAAGTTGATTGAGAAGCCCCTACCTCCACCAAAACCACGTCAAGAGCTCACTAAGGAGGATTACATAGCGACAATGATGAAGCAACCCCATCATCCACCAAAATACCAAGAGAAACCAGCCCCAATGCATAATACGGGACGCAACGTGCTACCTCACGACTTCCACAAGACACCTGGTGTTCCAAAGCCACCGGTTAATCCGCCTGGCCACCTCCAGGTACTTCAGAAGGACCAGAAGAACGGAAGTATCGATGAATCGAGACTTGATAAACGAGTGAAGATAGAGCCAGAGCAAGTGATTCCCAAACACAAATCCCTGTTCAGCCCGGAGAAGGTGCCACGTGAGAATATAACAAGGCCGAAACTCCCCAAGCAGAAGACTCCACCGATGGTTCAGGTTAAGGCGATCAAGCAGGAGAGGATGCTCGAAATGCCTGAGGACTTTGATCTCCCTGGAACATTTCCAAGTCCCACATTGAGCTTCGAGGCTATGTCTGAGCGACTCAAGCTAGAGGATCTTGCTACCTTCGATATGAAGATGTTTGGAAAACTTCCAGAGCCCCTCCAGGCACTTAGGGAGCCAGGCTCCACCAATGGTCGTGGAATACCTGATATAAAGCAGGAGATAAAACCCTTTGACACTGATCACATTTTAACGAGTCAATTGGATCTAGGAACGAAAACAGATCTCGATCAGTTGATCCTCGATAGGCTGGACTCAGGCCCGCTGAAAACTGAGTACTTGAGCCCCATGAAATCAGCTCAGGGTATCTCAGCTCTTCTCCAGGAACCCCTGGCACCGATGCCCTCCCTCCTGCAGTCATCGGACTCTGGGAATTTCAGTCAACCTTCGAGTCAGATGACACAGCAATCCATCCAGAATCAGGAGCCTGAACCAGTGATAAAGGAGGAAATTTATCAGTCAACGGTGGACATCTCTGCGCTATCAGGACCTGGGCAGACTCTTCCTGAAGTCGTAGTGCCCCAGAATTCTCAACAACCGGAGAGAAAGTCTGAGCACCACAAGAGTGAAAAGAAGAAGAAAAAGGATAAGCACAAGCACAAGGATAAGGACAAGAGCAAGGACAAGCACAAGCACAAACACAAAGAGAAGGACAAAGAGAAAAAGGACAAGGAGAAGATGCAGAAGGTGGAGGAGAACTCCACGGTGCCCATTAAAATAACAATTCCCAAGGACAAATTGAACCTGTCGAGTGATAACACAACGTGTCAGGAGAAGAAGAGTCCAAGTGCAACAAAATTAACTCTAAAAATACCCAAGGAGAGGATTATCAAGCAGGAGACAACAGTTCAGACCGTTGCCAAGGATGTTCAGGGCTCGCTGAAGATTAAAATCCGTACGTCAGGTGCTGGGATGGAGTTTCCCGAGTCGAGGAAGAGAGAGAGGGAGAGGGATCCAGCGGAGTGTGCACCAGCTAGCAAAAAGAGTGCCAGTGGTGGACAGGGGCCAGCTGGACAGCAGAGATCGACTGAGAGACAGAATGGAAGACATTACGGATCTACCAGCAATAAGGTAAGGGGAACCAGGGGCAGGGGATTTGCCAGGGGTGTGGGATTTGGCAGGGATTATTATCAGGGTATCGAGGGGGAGGGATTCAGGGGGCAGGGAATGATGGGACAGGGCTTTTTTTATCCGTATCCACCACCGAATATGTATCCTGGGGGATATTTCTGCGATCCTGGGGTATTCTATGGGGGATTTCAACAGGGATTTTCAATGTTCGGGGGTGTTGTTATGGCTGATGGTGGGGTTGTTGATACATCTGTACCTCCACCCTCTTTGATGGGATTGAGGGATGAGGTGCAAATGCCTCCGTTGCCAGAGGGACCGCATCCCAATGAGGCTCAGATACCACCGCCACCACCTCCTGAGTGATCACAGAGCTACTACCCTTTGTAGAATCATTTTCACTGCATTTATCCGATTTGTGGGAATATTATAGATTTTTTTTATGATCGATAATCCCCTGAGACCAGATAATTAATTACTTAAATAGAAATACTCTTTACTTCTTCGTTATTTCCTGATATTGGAAGGAAATTATTTTTTTTATTGAATTGTGAATGGTAGATCAATGAGAATCAAGTAGAAAACGCATGGCATAGTATGACTGTTTATTTTCTTTACTCAGTTTAGTTTGAGTTTTTTTTTTCTGTTTTTATCTCCTTGTTTTTGTAGTATATTATCCTGTATTTACTTGTTGAACACAGTAGACAATCTCCCTCATTCATATTCTCGAGTTGAACGAAAGAATAAGTTGAAATAAGTTCCTCCATCGTAGCACGAATAATACGAATGGTTTTTATCTTATGTTTTGTGGGTGTAAGTAATTAATGAGGCGTTGCCTTTGCTGGCAAAGGATATCAGAGACTCGAGGCCCAAAAGTACGCCAATAAATGATAATGGGACGTTTTTAGGATAGTGTGTGTATATAATAATTAAATGTATGTACCGAATTCCAAGGATTTATTGATTAATTTTTGTCACTTCTATTGCAACTTCGATCGATTGTGGAGTCAATTTATTGCAGGATTTGTATTTTAGTAATGAATTATCAAAGGATGAGGCATTTTTTACTTAGACTTAATCGACTTGACAGCACAATAATTATTGAATCAATAGTTCATTGCATTTGTTGATTGTTTTTGTACAACATACGTAATCATGTACTCGAAATATTTTCCACTGATTCTCTAGCCTCTCAAGTAATAAAAAAAATATCACTTGAATAATTTGTGCAAATGTATGAGTTTGTGAAATCCGAATTTTCGTTTTGACATTTTTTCCCACGAGATAACGAAAAATGGAAGAAAAAAATATAACAATTGCTCAATGAAGATAAACAATTGAACGAAAATTCGTTTTGAATTTTATTAAAATTCACTGTTTAATTACTCTATCCCTAAGGAATTATGAAATTATCTAGACAATTCTCGTGATTCATGAATAATAAATTCCAATCGAATCTAGTGTCTCGGTGTTTATTAAGGACAAAATAATTGCTAAGGTGAATGCATTGCACGAGAGTGAGTGAGGGAGTGCATGATAATTATTAATAATAATCTCCGTACCCTAGAGACAACGAATGCAACTCGATAATTGTTGTAATGAGCTCTAGGATTGAAAATAGAAGAATGTAAATTTAATTTCTCTCTGTATGAATTAATGTATCCAGTATGTCGTTCCACTCTGTTCTGTTCATCTCATCTCTCCTATTTTCTGTTCTGTTTTATATCTCTCCTGTTCTGTTCTCCACCGCAAAAACACGTCCTCATTATTTCTCTGCAAGCAATAGTGGAGTAAGAATAAACTCAATTGTACGATGAAGAAAAGAAAAAAAAAACGATAAATTTACCTTAGTAGTTATTTTGTCTCAATTTATTTTTCAAATTTTGAACACCTACGCACTAACATCACGAGAAAATATTCAATTATCGCCTCATTAATTAAAAACAATTGGTGATGGGTCCACAGCATGCGAATTCATTAATACCTAGTGCATGTGCAGATATCAATCTGTTTGTATGATATTTTTGCTTCCATTGGCATCGATTAAGACGTGTTGGGAATTTTTTTTTGTGATTTATTGTTGCAGGAGAAGCACACGAGAGAACACAAGAGTTCGAGTAAATTGTCACAGTCCCAGCAGTCGCATCCTACGTAGTATCGAGACGAGAAGAGACTACTTAACCATTAGAATTTTTTTCATTTTTTTAATTATAATTAGAAAAATTCAAACGATTCGTTTGGGGTGAGAGAGAGAGAGATCACACGCTCAGGGCCTGACGAGAGACTGAGGGCCCCGAATTCACTGGGTTTTATTTGTAATAATTTGAGGATTGGGCTGACAATCGTAGGAGGCATCGTGTATCTATTCTTGCCGGTTGAGAACGGAGGAATGTTTAATTAAACATGATAAAAACCCATAGAATATTTACGATCAAATTACGAAAAGCAGAGCAGGACGTGGGGCAATTTTTTTTTTTTACAAAAAATCCCTGCACCGATGATACCCGGGGATTTCCCTTATTATGGAAATTTCTCTGATCCACAAATATCTCGTAATCACGGGCATAATTCAAGAAAATGTATACGCAACTTTTCATTTACCTCTGGAGTGATGGGAGAGACTTTTTCCAATTAATTATACAGATGTATCTGTGTGAAAATGAATTTTTGTCACTTCAGTGCAACTCGTATTCACGGAATGAAAATAAACTCAGGACCCGTTAATCCAGAGGAATTTGTGTACAACTCCTTTGAGACGCCCCAGAGTGAGACGATAGGTCAAAGTAATTAAATAATTTATTTATCCATTCGTGAATTGTCTTTTTCCTCATCAAGTGAATCATATATTTTCCATGTAAATAGTTTGAGTCATTCTCTTTTTTCCTTTAATCTTCGATAATCTGCATTTTTTTTTTCCACCCCTCGGATTTCTTTTTCTCCTCATATAATTGCCTAGATAATAATCCGCTTATACTACACGTGTCTAGTATAATGGAAAAACAACTGAATAGTTTAAAACGAAATACAACTATTATCAGACTGTAAATAAAATTATTTTGTATGCCAAAATAAACCAAATGGATGACGGAAAATGGAAAGGTACATTAAACAAAAAAAAAAAACAAATATGTTGCTTTGGGCTAGGCGAAGGAAGATAAAATACATGAGTTGCATTTTTTTTTTTCTTTATTTTTCAATGGAACAAGAATCTGATGGATAATTCAGGTGCTAAGGCGTTTAGTTTGTCTTTTAGAGTGAAAAAAATGTTTCATGCGCGTTAGGACAATTATTTGACGTTGAAATAATATCTGCGAGGTAATTCGAAGGTGTTATTTCATTCAATTTATTATTCATCTGAAATTTTCACGTGCATATCGAGAGGCGCCAAGTGAAGCAACAATCTGTGAAATTTGTTTAGCTTCGAGTTTACGCATTTACGTAGAAAAAGGAAAATGAAAGGAAAACAAATTTACGAATACGTTTTAAGACTAGTAATCGTAAAGTGAATAATTATTAAACATAACTACAATCATTGTTACACTAATTAATCATGTTGAATTGGTGGAGTGATTAAATGCCACTTTTTGTAATAAAACGAAAGGTAAATATTATATTTTCTCTCGCTCGTGCACTCTCACGTTGTCAGAATAATTTTTCAATTACTTGTTTTTGGTTTTTCCATCACGATGAAAGCATTTGATTTGTCATTTCTGAGAAAGAGAGAACGAGGCGAAAGCTAATGAATAAATTCACTAGTTAATTCATAAATCTTGAGGCGATAATTCGCTATTGTCAGGATGAATTCACTGATTTGACTGCCTTTGACAACTGATTAAAAGTTGATCATGATACCACGAATCTAATGATTGCAATTTATAATTATAAAATTAATTCGTCATCCGTCGCTAATTTCCTAAGGTAATGAATCAGCTTAAATGATTCAAGTTGAAGAGAGAATAAAGATTTGTTGATAAAACAAAATCGGTGGCATTGTTTTTTTTTTTTAATTCCGAATTTTATTGTGGAGAAAAATAGGGTGTTACAGATTTGGTGGCTAATTACGCAATACTACTGGCATTGGATGCAATTCTTGGCCACAAGTCCGCACACTCCTTGGCAACAGGTCCAGTGATAGCTGATCCCTTCATTTCTCCTTTATTGTTAACAATGACACCTGCATTGTCCTCGAAGTAGATGAAGACACCGTCCTTCCTGCGGAAAGGCTTGCGCTGACGAATGACCACCGCTGGCATAACTGAGCATTAAAAAAACAATAATTTATCAATTGCTATTTACTCTATCATCCAATTCAATTACTCCACATTAAAAAAAAAAACACCTCACCCTTTTTCCTGAGCTCAGGCTTTCCCTTCTTGACAGTAGCAACAATCATGTCGCCTGATCCAGCAGCAGGGAGACGATTAAGTCGTCCCTTGATGCCCTGAACAGCAATAACATAGAGGTTCTTGGCACCTGGAGGGAGAACAATTTAATTAATCGAAATTCAATGAATATTAATTAAATACAACGACCAATTATCCAGATATTTATTCAAAAGGATAACAGGGAATTATGAAAAAGTACTCCTGAGGATTTCTTTCGTGTTTAATGAGACAGTAATGACTTTGTTTTTCCCGGAGAATTGAGGTTATCTGAAGTATATCCCCTGATTGATGAAAGCTCACCTGTGTTGTCAGCACAATTGATAACAGCACCCACAGGGAGACCCAGGGATATCCTGAACTTGGCTCCAGCTGATCCACCACGTCCTAGTCATCAGAATAAACATAGAATGTGATTAATTGTTCTTGTGTATCCTCTCACCATTGTCTCATGGCAGGGGAACAATTTCCCCCAATCGAATTATCCGATGATTTTCATGGAATCGCGAAAAACGTTTGACTCCGACATATCGAGGAATAGTTTCCCCTCTATCACGTATTATTAATTAACCATGATCGGTTAATTTCACTCGGATTTTCATGGATTTACACAGACGTCAAAACGACTCACCTCTCTTCGACATTTTGGCGTGTTTGAAAGAGCAAGACCCACGATTACATCGCGCACCTCACTTCACGCAGGCCATCTTGTTGAATGATTGACGAGGGAAATTCGAAATTAAAAGTCAAATACACCAATTTCATTCGGATTTTCAATTAAATAATTATCGATTATTCATAATGTTTGAAGAGACTCTCGATATGATAATGCGAGAGGACGAATCGTCACTCCAGGAGAAAATTCTCGCTGCTCTCGACAGAGATCTCCGGAGGTTCAAGGTTAATTACCTCTTCAAAAAATAATTTCGTTTTGTAAAAATTAATGATTAATCTCCGTTAATATCTTCTCTAGGAGAAATCACTGGTGAAAATTGAGGAAAAATGGCAAACCCCTGAGAATTATTCAGTCGATGAAAAATTAGGTAAGTAGGAAATTGATTTATCGATTAAGGGGCTAGGAGGGGAGACGCTTCATGGGCAGAATATTCCGGACAAAAACACATGTACAGAATTTGATTAGTGATTATTCCTCGTGAGGAATAACTCCGAATTTTCCAGGAGTTGATAATATACATCAGCAATGCCAGTCCCATTGCTGAGTGAAGTGATAGAGTTGGAGCTAGGAGGTAATCCAACAAGATAAATAAATAAATTCCTCCAGGGACAACAAAAGTGAAGCTCTAGCAATTTCTATTATTATTTCACTCATCCCCGACCTAATCTGATAAATTAATCACCTCAGGGATTTTTTCGTCTAAGAATTTTATAGAATTCGTATAACTAGTTGAGAAATAGAGAAATTATTGTTTCAGCCCAAGAGCCCTGGCCCCAGCCCATAAAGCTGTACCAGCCCTACGAGGTAGAGCAAATTCTCCTCCCAGACAACGCCAATTGCCTAGCAGTGCAAGCATTCCTCCACATGCTGAATCTCGATTACCAGATAGAGCCACGAAAAAATGCTGAGTACATGTCGCCCTCAGGACGAGTGCCCTTTATCCAATGTGGAGCATTCGTTGTCTCTGATTTTGATAATATAGTTGGATTCCTGGGTAATAAGGGAGCGAGACTGTCTCAGGACCTGGATGAAGCCGAGAAGACAGACATGAGGGCGTATATAGCCCTCGTGAACACCTGTCTTGCCAATGCTGAACAGTACATCTGCTGGGTGGAGCCATCAACCCTGGAGGAAGTAACGAAACCGAGACATGGATCTGTGTATCCCTGGCCCCTCAATCACATCCTCAATTGGCAGAAGGAAAGGCAGATCACGAAGAAATTGAGAGTTCTGGGATTTTACAGCAAGAGCATCGAGGAGATCTACCAGGAGGTCAAGATGTGCTGCACTGCTCTCTCAGAGAGGCTTGATGGCAAGCCCTATTTCTACGGTAACAAGTGAGTTTATTTTGTCGTAGTCTTTTCACTTTTATCCACGAGATCTTTGATTTTTCAAGACCATCCGAGCTAGATGCTCTTGTTTATGGGCACATCCATGCAATCCTGAGATCCCACGACGTCCCATCCCTCCAGGATCTCGTTAGAGT